CTAATGTGGGGTGTTTTGCCTTCGGGAAAAAAACACCTTTTGTTACAGAAATAGTCCATCCGTTAAGCTGATGCATCGACAACGTGGCGAGGTCTGACGTTCAACAGTCAACACTGACAGAGAAGTAATTCTTCACACACCGGATACTTCAGTCCTACACGGACATGGCCCTTAACTCGGGGAATATTTCATTCACGTTCGTGAATATTCATCTTAACTGACTCAAGACTATTCATCAAGAATAACTTACTTCGCTGGTCAAGTGAGGGTTATAGACTGTAGATCAAAATGTGAATTTGTCTTCTACTACTTACGTGCACATTCGTATTGTACGCCGTATTTGATTATGACTGCGTATTTATATAAATTAGAAATACCATTTTATTAATACAATAAGTATACTATTAGAACCTTGCCTCGGATAAATTATGTGTATTTGTTGACCGGAATCGCCTTAATTTATCTCAAGAAACATATATTGTTTCTATTTGATTTGTTGCTGTTGTTTTGTTTCCTTTGTTTTCTAAGCAAAACAACATAAAACTATTTCACAGACACGTTCTTCCAAGTACACGATCCATTGCAGTGCGTGAAACCCTTTCAACGTTCGGTTTTCATAGCGTAGAGTTACGCTGTGAGGAGCTTACTAACATCTGCGGGGTGGAACGAAAGTTGGTTCTGATCTTCATTAATCGGAAGAGTATATCAACGAATATCTTAACATAAGTCTAGTATTTATATTTGAGAGAACGAAAAGGCCAATAATGTTTCCATATAATCACTGCAGCACATATTTTTCCATTACAAATAATACTTATTATGTTTGACCGACAGAGACGAAAGCCATAGATACTAAACTCTGACGACTACAACTGTATAAAACTCTGAATATCCCGATTATGATATTCACAATGCTGTGAGAGATTGATTGGGCTTTCTTGCCATTTTTAGCGACACTCCAGCAATATCACGGCGGGGGACACCAGAAACGGACTTCACACATTGTACCCATGTGGGGAATCGAACCCGGGTCTTCAGCGTGACGGGCAAACGCTTTAACCACTATGCTACCCCACCGCTCCTCAAAATACTGCGATGTAAATAGCGTAGCCATATATATTTCCAAGTTGTGATAAACCTGTCATGTAAAATAATGAGATCCATCCACTACGAAACGTGCACTGACCTACTTGTGGGCCCGGCGGGTCTTTATGTACAAGAGGCCGTATGTGCCTGTAATTGTCAGGATAGGATACTCCAGTGTTGACAGTGCCGGAAATACATTATGGGCGGCGACCATAACTTGGATGACAGATGATGTGCTCATGTCCATTAAACTAAAACATATTCAGCCGGGTGAATTTCAGTCTCAACTGTGATAAGGAGTGATATAAGACTGAAATGGGTTGAACGAGTTAAACAACGTCTTTATCTGATACAGGTTACATATGTCAACTTGTGGAAGGTGCAAATGTAGAAGGAGTGGTTGTAGCGGCACTCTCCTACCCAGAGTTCCATGCGGCAAGCCAGCATAGTACCTCTGCCACAGGCCAGAAAGATGTGACGATTCGTCACATCTTGCACCGTCCATTCAATATAATGTACATATTTCTTAACTCTTTTATTTTTGATGAGTCTACACATCTAATTAAACATCTTTTGATAGAATGGTTTAGTTTCACTGAGAAAATATCCTAAAACATGTAATACTATTTCGATTTGCGTAGCGATCCTTTGTTTACATAGGTTGTACGGCTCCACGTGTGTAGCGGTAGATGTGACAATGACGTAACGATAGCAGTGGTTGTCACGATAGCAGTTAGAAAACTGTCATACGTCATAAAATAGCAGATGTTATTGCAGTAGTAGAAAGAGCAGCAGCAGTAGTAGTAGTACTTTCCCAGAGACTACTAGTGGTAATAGTAGTAGTAGTAGTAGTAGTGTAGTGAGGTGAAGTGAGGGGGAATGGGGTTTAACGTCGTACATATTTCGCTCATATGACGACGTGCGCGCGTGTGTATGTGTGGCTGCTTGTGCTAGCCCAATTAAGATGGTTTTATAGTGCTAGCTCACTGCGACAACATGGCGCAGTAGCAGTAGCAGTAGCAGTAGTAGCAGTAGTAGCAGCAGTCGTAGTAGCAGATGTACCCACTAATGCAGTCCCGTTGGTCGCTTCTTAGGAGGAGCAGAACAGGCTGTTGAAAACCAATTCTGAACCGGGTCGTCACGGGCAGTGGCAGTAGTAGTAGCAGCGGCAGTAGCAGTAGCAGTAGCAGTAGCAGTAGCAGTAGTAGCAGTAGCAGTAGCAGTAGCAGTAGTAGCAGCAGCAGCAGTAGTAGTAGCAGTAGCAGTAGCAGTATGAAATGTGGGGAACACACTGTCAGGAACGTAATGGCTGTTCAAGTAGCCTAATGAGCTACAGTGACAATGCTGTGAGCAACAGCGAAGTCCAGCGCCGTGCACACAAATATACCTCTATTGTTTACGTCGTCACAAATCAAATCGCTGTAAACAACCTCCCTTTACCACAGGTGACCAAACTAAAGTCCCCTTTCCCCCACAGACATGCCACAGTCTGGAGATAAGTCGGTGTGTGTGATTACAGTGTTGACAGATATTAATCGGGAGATTACTCTCAGCCGACCATGCACAACGCGCCGTCACCTTAATGGCGCTTCGTGATCCACGTATCATACTGACATAACCTCGGGGGAAACTGTTGCCCTGTCTGCTACCTGTAATACGTCAGTGACGTGGAGAACATAGCACAGAGTACAGGCAAGATTGGTCACATGAAAGGAGTATGTGTTGTGAAATGTGTAGACACAGTCTATTACTGTGAAACTCGTATCATTCTATTTCTGTGAAACTCTACCATATTACTATGAAGCTCGTATCGCTCTATTACTGTGAAACTCTTCCATTCTATTACTCTGAAACGCGTACCATCCTGTTACTGTGAAACTCTATCATTCTATTACTGTGAAACTCGTATCATTCTATTTCTGTGAAACTCTGCCATATTACTATGAAGCTCGTATAGCTCTATTACTGTGAAACTCTTCCATTCTATTACTCTGAAACGCGTACCATCCTGTTACTGTGAAACTCTATCATTCTATTACTGTGAAACTCGTATCATTCTATTTCTGTGAAACTCTGCCATATTACTATGAAGCTCGTATAGCTCTATTACTGTGAAACTCTTCCATTCTATTACTCTGAAACGCGTACCATCCTGTTACTGTGAAACTCTATCATTCTATTACTGTGAAACTCGTATCATTATGTTACTATGAAAACCGTAATACTATCATTCTGTTACTGTGAAAATATCATTCTATTACTGTGAAACTCTATCATTGTATCGTTCTATATTACTGTGAAACGCGTATCATTCTATTACTGTGAAACTAGCATTATTCTGTTACTGTGAACTTATACTGATGGAACTAAGTAAAGGAACGTAGTTATCTATCTTAAAATGTTTTTTTGCATGAGAGGTCACAGACCCATTTACACGAAATGAATACAAAACAGTCTAGAATCATTTAAGAAACAGATTCACATACGCATTGTAGTACATGTTTGCTTTCGAAGGCATACTAGAAATATAACTTGCCGCAATTAATTGATCATATGTTGTGGCTAAAACGCGAGGAAACAGTCTGTCTGAATGTATACATATTTAGGAACTGCTATCCGGTATTTAAGGATGGAAATATACAGTTAAAATCATATACAAATCTTCAATATTGTTTAGGCTACAATATGTATACAGTTAGTTTTACTACTGGGCAAGCGTTTGTTTCGCGCCCACACTGTAAACGTCCCTGTTAAAAGGAATATCAAGAAAATAGTAGGATTATAAAGCTGGATCAATATTCATGTCAAGAAGGACCATTATAAGACAATGTCAGCTCTGAATGTTACCGTCCTAAATCTCATGTCATCAAATATGTCTCTGTCTTGATGATACACAGTCGTATTTATGGCTGACACGTTTAACTCCCCGGATGTTTCAGGTAGGTATTAATCATGTCGTCTTTTTCTGGAAACAGTGGTATGAGGAGTTTACCTGAAGACCTGGTAGCAATAAGAGTCGTCGTGTCCTGGGACGCCCTTTGTTAACAACATTAAGACTGACTTTGTCTCTGAAAACATTTCTATTCAAATTAAAGATTTTGTAGACTCGTGAATCATGTTTTCCTCCGCCAGGTAATTGTGTAAAACAGGAGTATTTGGGACGACCGGTAAATCCGAAGCTGATCCGATATATGGATGGCATTATCAGAAACTGATCCGATATCTTGATGGCATTATCAGAAACTGATCAGAGACTATGAAGACATTATCAGAAACTGATCAGAGACTATGAAGACATTATCAGAAACTGATCAGAGACTATGAAGACATTATCAGAAACTGATCAGAGACTATGAAGACATTATCAGAAACTGATCAGAGACTATGAAGACATTATCAGAAACTGATCAGGGACTATGAAGACATTATCAGAAACTGATCAAAGACTATGAAGATATTATCAGAAACTGATCAGAGACTTTGAAGACATTATCAAAAACTCTTCAGAGACCTTGAGGACAATATCAGAAATTGATGACTTGTGATTGTATATTGACTACTGATTGGTGTAAACGGTAACCGCGGGTTTTGAATAACAGTCGGAACATTAGTCTTTGTAATGATTGTTCTATATTAAAGAATACGGGCCTCGTATGAATGCGCTGTGGTATGTGTAGATTGTTGTGTTAGGATATATCACTGCTATCCGAACATTCAAAAGACATATCTGATTTTCTGTATCAAAAGTTGAATACTGTATACGATATTAAATAATCAAAAAAGTTATTTTGTGGAAACGAGTACACAGAAACTGGTTCTCCTGTTCACTTCATTCAAGGTTTGGTTAAAACAGATAAGTCCACAACGAGACAACGGTCCTCAAAGCTGAAACATGGATGATAGCAAAGACTTACCAGAGTTGGTTGTGGAGGTGCTTGGCCATTGCCGGACAGTAAGCAGAACGAAAGAATCCATACAAACAAAAACATAGAAGCGGGTGGAAGAAGAGATTTTGATGAGCCCGCCATGGTGAGTGGATCTTGCCGAACTGGAGAGGAGGGAGTTTTATCACCGTTACACCTCCCAGGTGGCGCACATAAATATCACGAAGGTCACGTACGTCACGAGATTGATGTGCGGTGATCTGTCATTGGTGAGATGAGCAGACGTCACATAGCAGACGTCACCGAGCAGACGTCAAAATGGAGGAAAGCTGTTGCTGAACGTCTGGTAGGCAAGACGGTCAAGTCAGAACAATCAAATCGACAATTCGATGATGCTGTGTTATGTAATGTGTGTTTTAGAGTGAAACTACATGACAGAAAGATTATGAGGGCACTTGTTCTTATTGTGAATACAATGGACGTGTTTGTTTCCTAGTTGTCATAATAACATATCGTATTGGTTTTTTTTTATATCTTTGACGTTTGTGGGAGCTCGTGTAATGCCTAAGAACATTTGTGGGTAACGTCTCGATTTGTCGACGCGAAACGTGTTGTCTTGTTGACAAGACATGCGCCGTGTACCTGATACAACATTACTTCTGATGCTTTCTTATCCATCAGTGCCATAGAGACGTATTACATATTTGCCCTTCTCTTTACAAAGAAAATACACAGCATCTCATGATGAATATAACTCGTACACCGTACAACGCTGGCTAATCCCACAGCGAATTATGCCTATGGCAGTTTGTTGCTCGGTCGAACATGGTCAGACGGTAATTGTAGTAATTTACCATTGTTTGCTTGTTCTCGGTCAACCTTGTGTCATTTTGTTTGGATTGTTTAGAATGTTTGTTGCTTAACTTTTGACGTGATGAATAGTCAGCTATGGAATGTATTTCAAGAAACACGGGTTAATTGTTGTAACATATGCTGAGGCAAATTGACACACTTTTGTAAGTCCATTTGTTTTTTTTTATTGATCTTGTCCTTTAGCATATGTTTTTATTTTATTGGTCTTGTCCTTTAACATATGTTTTTTAACCCTAAGCGCAGCAAACCGGCAGGTATAGGAGAACTGTGAATAGCTGAGTCTGGTCCATACCACTCAGTGATTGACATCCTGAGCATCGATCCACGACTTGGGGTTACGAACCAGCTCACCGAACCACACCGCCCGTCCCATTTCGTCGCCGTGACGACAAGCATGGGTTGCAGGGGAACCTGGGCCCCGTTCCTCAAGGCAATCGTAGCCGTAAGATGATCGTAACTCCCATACTTTAACATAGACTTACGACTGTCGTAGCGCTACGATCGCTTTGAGGAACGAGGCCCTGTTTCATAACTGAATATGATGACAGAATAACCGAGATTTCTTACGTAGATACGGCTATCAACAACAAAAAGGTTTGAGAAAAAAAAGGACAGTGAAGTCAAATTTTATGAAAGAAGAGAGGTCACATTTATCGATTCAAATTTCGGTTTCAATGACTTTCACAAATAAGATTACCAGTATTCACCTCTACGCAAATCGATAGCCATGTATGACATAACCATCGGATGTTGATGTCATGTCGCATCACCCTCTCCCTCCTCCTGACACTTCCTATCCACCCCCATCCCCATCCCCACCCCCATCCCAAAACTCGAACCACCACCACCACAACTGCACACTCATAACCCATAAGAATTCAAAACGAATATTCAGTTATTTGCATTAATATCAACTGAAAGGAATTAATCAGCATTTCGGCTATGCTCTTACAGGGTTTTCTTTCAACTTGGTAACTGTATATGTTAGAAAGTTTAAGAAATGTAACTTCTCATATGTCAAGAAAAGTTTGGACCACAGTGGACATAGGGAAGTATTTAAGAATCCTAATAGTTTAAACCGACATTGGTTCACATCACGAACAGAATCTGTACTCTAGGATCATTTTGTAAAAGTATGAAGAAAAATGGATTTCCTAGTTACCATGGATTATTGGATTCATTATCCGTTTCCTAGTTTTAGCCGTCATTTATATATGTACTTACTGGAAAAAGACTTTGCTTAGTCAAGCGTATTCAAACCTAAACGAACCTACAGATATAAAGAAAACCACTAAACTACCCCCTTCTCACGACTGTCAACAAAACACAATGTCAAACTACCCATTTCTCACGACTGTCAACAAAACACAGTATCCTGTATCACACCGTCATTAATGTGTTTGTCTTTCATTGCGTGTAACTATCCTCATAATTGTAGATATTATGTCACGTGACACCCAAGCTCTGCCTGTAGGTGGTCGACCTCTCACCGACCACATCACACGAACTATCCATGCTTTGTAATTGTCCATAACGATATGCTTTGATGAAGTAATAATCTCCGTCGTATTTGTCAGTATGATTGGTTCTAATCTACATATCATATTTATGGATTGTTCGGTAGGCATTGTTTGGGCGTTGATGGATGACAAAGTTGACACAGTTCTAGATAACACGGTACATGAGACAATGAAATTCACCTCTGACATGAAGTCCATTATTTTCAAAATTTATGAATTTTTTTGGTAAAGGCGAAAGTAAAAGGGGTCGCCTTAAATATGCCCGGGGTAAATTTGTTAAACGCACTGCACGTGCAGCTTGGTTCAACTTGTCTTTTGCATAAATTTGGGTTTCGTTACAAAAAGGTACCTGTTGCGTAATCGCACGATGTCAGCTCTGTCACATAGCAACAGCCTGTTTTCCCCAATTACCGTTTAGTAACGAATTCCAAATTTATGCAAAAGTTTCCATAACTGATATTTGGATATAGTCAACGAATGTCCTGTATCCATGTGTTTTTGCCAAATGCGTAAGGAAAGGAATTTATTTTAGCTATAGAGTCTTGTAATAGCATTTCTTACTAACTCTTTCCAAAAACAGTGAAGTTTGTGAAGTTTGTCAGCTTTCAAAAGTGGAGATTTTGATACGACCCCCCCTCAGTTGTGCGTGACCTGGTTACAGTATTCACACGTACAATGACTTTCCATCTGATTGGATCATTGGCGAGAATATTGTGGGTGGTGAGCTCGCTGTTGGATCTGGGTTAACAATTGTAGTTTTTGCATGAAATTGCCATACATTCATTTCCTTGTGTATTGAAAACAAACACAGTTATTACCTACTTCCATTTATAGGTAATATTATAAGTTCAAAGTTTACAAACATATCGCATGATTCTTATGAAAAATTGAGTAGTCTACTAGTGTATATCAGTCAAACACCACATACCATTGAGGTTTACCTTTAAAGTTTTAAAAATTGAAAATATATAACTAACACATTTTATTTTTAAAAATAATGCCGCAAAAATATTGCCGGGGGATATAGAGGAGAGTGGAGAGGCCGGCGGTGCATGATTATGCCAGAAGCCTTTTGAAGACAGTAGATAATTGTGCCTTGAACATATAACATGAAGTGTATAAATAACGTATATGTCAGGATATCGTCCACGTTGTGATCTGCTGTCCATAAATCCACAAACACCACAGTTGCATCGATTACAGGTGACAGATCACTTGCCGTGATTGATATGTGATATTCACACTGCGCGGAGCTGTTTTAATCCGCTTACGTTGGCGTGACGTTACAGAGTTGCGGTGTCTATATATACACCCTTGTTACAGCGGCTGTAGTAAATGGTAACCCCTGTCATCAACTGAGGTGAAAACACGACCGTGGAGACACCTGTATTTGCCTGTGTATACATACAGGTCTTCATGTGTGTCGGGTATCAGGTATTTCCTCGAGGGGCTAAAATTGACTCGTTTTCATCAAACGTGTAGCGTCACGTATTTCTAATTGTTTCATTGACATTCTAGACGTTGGTGAGTTAGATATGAAGCATACATCTTTATTGATGACAACTTCTTCAAGTCACATTTCGTACTCTCTTTAATACTTACCTATTGAGCTCCCAATTTTCAGAAACGAATTCCCCAATCCTTCACGATTTCTTTTTCACATTGTTTAGTATGGATAAAATATATAAAATTTCTAATCAAATATATATTTCTACAAGCCAAAGAGATGTTTAATATCATAAAAAAATATATTTTGGATATTTGTTCACGTTTGACCTTAATGTTTGCATTATTTGTACCTTAGAGCTGATTTCATATTTATGGTCGTATTTATGAATTTGTTCAAAGAGGAGATCTTTATTATATACGTGGAGTACACATATCAATTGAGTAAGTTTAGTGTTACGCCGCTATCTGCAATATTCCAGCAATATCACGGCGGGGGACACCTGAAATGGGCTTCACACATTGTACCCATGTGGGGAATCGAACCCGGGCCTTGGGCGTGGCGAGCGAACGCTTTAACCACTAGGCTATCCCACCGCCCCTACACATATCAAGAAAATTGACAGTTCATATGGTTTCTGCTGAAAGATTTCCCTGTTTGCTGTTTGACGCCCGTATTCGGCCAAGCAATGGGTGAGGTCGGTCATGGAACAAGATTTATGACGTCATTATGGATCGTGACGTCCTTGGTGCTGTGACGTCATATGACAACAGAACTGATAATTTCCGGTCATTTGCAGTCGCCCGCTAATTTCTGATAACTAAAGGGCGGTTTCATGATAATTCCATCCATTTTAACTAAATTTACGGACACTATATTTTCGTGATACTCTGTTCACCGTGAACTATATTGTTCCACTATATAGGTCCACGCTGTAACTCTCATCCTCGATAATCTCCACGGTATACGTTCCGATAAATTTCCACTAGTACCCTGGATGGATCTGCGGCTCTGATTTTATTACCTCCCTTTGCTGGTTCCGCATTCTCACAGTAGCCAATCAGATAAGCCGCCGTTACAACTGCGCTTGCCAGTGTCAACAAAGATGGCTGTCGCAGCCGCGAAAATTTGTTCGCGGTGCGACTCAGATTTTTGGGGGAAACATACAGACAAATTGACAGGTGTGAAACCTTAAACAAATATATGCAAGAACTCCTTCTACCTCTTTCAGAATACCTCTGCAACAATATATTATTGTGTTGCCAAGTTTAATCGGTTAGATAATTTAAAAAAGCGAAAGTGAGTTGTGATTGGTACGCCGTAGATGCTTCCAGGGTATAGTGGAGATTTATCGGAACGTATACCCTGGAGATAATCGAGGATGTGTCACACTGTGCCATTGTAGATATAGAGTAAGTTTGCACCATTATTAATAATAA